TTCACTTACAACAATTTTTAAAAATATCTTTGGGCTCGCACTTCAGCAAATCGTTATTCTTGATGCCACAATAATTGAGCACACAAAAAAATTCATCCATCAAAGATCCCTCCATGCACAGGTCTCCTCCATGTCCTATTCAGATGACTCTAATGTGACATCAGTAGTCAACGTGAGCAGTGAGGAATTAAACTTGCAGCTTAGGGAGAATGTTTTTGATAATGCTATTCAAGATTCATTCGCAAACGTTCTTGGGTTAATTTTTCAAGATGAACATCAAGAGTCTCCTCCCCTGTTGATCCTTCCCACCTTCTTTAGTGGATTATTCGTCCTCTTCAAATTCTATTCCTATCAAACTTCGATCTCAAATTGAGACACGTGGTCTTCAACTTTGAAAATAGTTTCTTTTTCACAGGAGAATCAAAGAGAATCATGCATTTGTTTGAAGTTTCTTAATTAAGTGATTAGAAATTTTTTCATGCATTAGAGAAAAAACTTTATTGATGACTCACAGTAGGAGATTTAACTTTTTATTTAGGGGTTTTGAAGTTTTCTCCATGCACACGTGTCGAAGGATTTGAGTTGGGAGATATTTGTGTAATTCATAAGTTAGTATCTAGTATCTAGGGATCCTTGTTTAGATTTATTTACCTAGTATGTAGGATTATTGTTTAGATTTATTCTGACTAGTAACTATAGATTTTTTTAGATTTATCGAGTTAGACTACCTAGTATGGGAATTTAGATTAACTATCTATTCAGATTTAGTGTCTTTCCCTACAATTGGGACATGTAATTCTCTAAAGTAAATAAGAAAAAACAGCAAGCTAACATTTTCTACTTTTTTGCATTTTGAACTGTTAGAGGTTGCCTTAATTCCTAGGACTAAGGATGGTAAAAAATTAAAACATTAATTTTGATTTTGGGGCACATGTCATGTTTTGCCCTTTTCGATATTTAACTGAACTTGCATTTTTCGAGGATGCTTTATTGAAGAATTATGACAACACTAAATTCGAATTCAGCATTGGATGTCTCCAAGCCGTCCAAATTTCAAGATGGTTCAATTTCAAATATTGGGCATGCAGTTGAAGCTTTTGTTAAATTATCATTGCTCAGGGTTGCATAAATATGCATGAATGATGAATCATTAAGTTCAAAGTTATTATGGTATTTCCTTTTCCAAGAAGAATTTCGGCTATCTATATTCAAGAGCAACTGTTTTGCAATGGCCATTCTTCCATTTAATTATTCTAGTAGGCTTTACACACTTCCTCCTCATTTAGGCTTCTAGTGCATTCCTTTGTGCCTTGCTTATGAAGCTTCTTTATGGAGACAAATGCATGTCCAAAGATACATGTTAAAGCAAGCTAATCTAAAGAATGTTTCCTTTGTGCCGTTGTTATGGATAAATTTTCAACTAGGTTTGCACAACTTTATGGGAAGCTGGAATTGATTAATCATGAAATGGTTCTTTGCATTATAGAATATCTTCAAAAGAAGTTAGAGATTCTTACACAAACAAGAGCTCAATGATGCTTACCCCGCCATTTCTAAGAGGTACAAAACAAAAGCTATAGCAACAGATTTGGAAGACTCTGCTTTTGAGAGTTTGTCTCCCTTGAATATCAATAAGAAGTTTCTTGTTAAAGAAACGATTAGGTCATCAATGGACCCAAAATCTTAAGCTAACGAGTTTTGGTAAATGAATTATCGATACCTCAACATTTCATTTACTTGTGGAATTGAAAATTTGTAGAAAGCCAACAAGTAAAAATCAATGTTAATTGGAGAGATGACATTATAGGAGTTCAAACATAGGACCTCCTACTCTAGTATCATGTTAAATCACCCATGAGTCCAAATGCTTATGATGATGGATTATAGAAAATTAATTAGTTTAACACTTCAAACAATTTTAACAACAATAAAAACTAGTTAAATCCATGATTCTAAAAGTCAGTCATACATTATATTAATACTTCAGTTCCAAAATATATAAAGTAAGAAATTTTAAATCAGTCCTCACCATCACAAAGAGATTCCAAATTGATGCCTGCATTACCCATTCGTTTATGAGGAATCACCAAGTTTGCATCCCATGCAGCAACCTAAGATTTGCTTGATATATAAACATTCAAAATTTATGAATCGAACTACTTTAATATAATAAAATAAATAAACATTCATATATGTATATATATATGTGGTCAACTACATGAGGCAATAGAAAGTAAATACATAAAATGATAACTATTTGATTTTTTTTATTTTGTTTTTTTTAAATTAAGCTTGTAAACACTACTAATACTGTGGGTTCCTTTGGCAGGAAGTCTTTGATTCAAATTTCATTTGAAATAGCACCTTTGTAGATTACGAAACACCTTTTGAGTCAACAAAGCCTGTAAAGAATTGTTTTATTTGAAGAATATGGCAAAGAATATGCCATATTCTCCAAAAAAAAAAAAAAGAAAAAAGAAAGAAGGAAGCCAGTTCTTCATTTCTTTCAACAATTGGGAAACATTCTTTGGATTTCGATTGACTTGAAGAAAGCTGCTCAAGTCCTTAAGCCCCCCGTGAAGCAAGTTGTCTTTTCACCTTTTGATTCCGTACTCTCCGATACTTTGCAACCAAATAGTACCTCCCTTTTGAATCCAAAAGAGTTTGAGCACTATGGAATCAGTTACATAACCTAACATGAAGAATATTGTTCATGATGATTCTCATTTTGAAGTTTTTGGTTTATTATTTCCTTTTTTTTTTTTTTTTTTTTTTTTTTTTTTTTTTTTTTTTTTT